TCTCTCTCTCTCTCTCTCTCTAGCATTTGCTACTATGAAGTCTTACAGGCTCTTGCCTCTCTGACATGTGTGGGACTTGTCTTTTGCTGGACAATGCCATTGTTCCTCAGGGGTACATTACCCTGTGAATCAGTGGCTTAAGGAATATCACTCCTCTGCAGTGAAGTGTGCTATGCATGATCCTCTCAATGGCTCATCAATGGATTTCAAATGGGCGGGCGTAATTTCTGCTGGGGTAAGTTCCGCAAACCTCTTGCCGTGTGGTGGAACACGTGTTTGACACCTCGCTCTCTCTCTATATATATTTTGGCAACGCTCTCTCTATCTATATATATTTTGACACCTCTCTTTCTCTCTACATATATATATACTCTGTTTGACTATATATATATATTTCGACACCTCTCTCTTTCTCTCTGTGTCTGCCTCTCTCTCTCCTTTTCTCTCTCTCTCTCTCTCTCTGCTCTCTCTGCACTCTCCCTGCACCGCCCCCACTTCTATCACGACTCACCTCCCTTTTGTTTGTTAGTGTGTGGCTCGGTATGTTTCAGTCATGTTTGCAATTCCAGTTGGCAGAGATATGTAAATCCATCAGCAAATAGCTATTTCACAACTTCCGCTGCATTTATCAAGTTCGTAGTTTATGTAATGGTGTTTACGACCACGGTGGCATACCTGCCGAAGGCGACCGCCGACTGAACTGCAGCTAATCAGTCGGCAGAGGGTGGCCTGCTGGGTATTCTGCAAATCGGGCTAGGGGGCTGTCCCGCGCTTGCAGAGAACAGCCCAGACCCGCTATAAAATTTCTGCTGTTGGGTTCCAGAGGGGGCGGAGTGTGGTGGTGGTTGCCGTTGGAACTTAGAAGAAGACGAAGAACAACCCAAAACAGAAAGTGGAAGTGGCGTGGTGGATGGTCGTGGTGGTGGTTGATGGTCGCAATGTTAGTTGATTGTCGTGATGGTGGTTGATGATAGTGGAACCGCCGAAGAAGACGAAGAGGGAAAAAAAAAATTGGGGCTGCTGATGCAACCTAAAGACTACAGTTCTAAAGAACTGAAGTTGTATGCCATGAAGGGAAAACAACAAATTTAGCATGATGTACCCATTGAGAAAGTCGTCGTCTTTTGATCTGTTTTTGCTCAGATTTCTCTGTCTATTGCTTTCTAAGTGCTTTTGGCTTGCCTTTCTTGTTGAGGGACTCAGGTACTCTCTCTTCTTCCCTACTTGCTGTCCGCAGTTACTAAAGATCTGCCTTGTGTGTGGGTGTGTGTGCTGCCTGCCTGTGTGTGTGTGTGTGTGTGTGTGTGTGTGTGGGTGTGGGTGTGGGTGTGGGTGTGGTGTGTGTGTGTTTTGTTTTGTGTGTGTGTGCGCTTGTGTTTTGTTTTGTGTGTGTGTCAATGGGTGGTGGCTATTCTCAGTTGGTGCTGGAGGTTGAACGAACGTTCAGAGGTGGAGCGCTTAATCGAGTGAAGGTAATTTGAAAAAACGTAAAACAGGAGGTTAACCAAAAATCTGCATGACGAATTCTGGCTGTGGCTCATTGTCCTCCAGAAACAAAAAAAAAAAAAAAAAAAAAAAAAAAGTCTGGGTCGATATATGTGCTAGGAATCCTTGCATGTCTTTAATTGTTTTTTGGTTTCACAAGTGTGATCATGACGAGCATCAATTGTATATTCAAAATATTATTCATTCAGTGTGGTGTGAATATGCCTAGCTTTCTCTCGATTGCCTGCCTTAGGGGGTGAGTTCTAGCGCAATCTCGTGTGTTTGATCTGTGTAGTGGCAGATTACCAATTTGCGCCCTCGTCTTGTTGAATTGACTGTGCCCCCTCTTTTGCGGGAAAACTTTATGTATTGTTTGCATTTTGTCAGCTTTTGACGGAGGGCGGGAATGGGAAAATGCCGAATCAAGATCTAATCAACACCGCTCATTACACGTCAACCTGGCGAGAAGGTGTCCGTCTGGAAATGGACAAACAGGAAGAAGTGGAGCGATCAGCTGTGGCGATGTTTATTGGCAGCGTGCTCGAGACAGTGACCAAAACGATCCGTTGGGCGGTTACCGGCATCATTGGGCACGATGGGGGAGGAGATGGGAAGGAACACTGGTTACAAGAATTCTTGAAGGCGATTCCAAGCATCACTGCAGGGGGATATGTTGAAGGACTTGCGACACTGACGCAGTTCATGCAAAACCAGGTAATGGCGGAAGTGTCTTTTTTTTTTTTTTTTTTTTTTTTTTTTTTTTTAATTAATGTGGCCCAATGGACCACGGATCAGATATTAAACTGATCAGAACAGATACTACACTTGATCTTAGCCAAAAGGCCAAGAAAGGTAATGGCGGAAGTGTCTTCTCAACCTAGAAAAAGAAAAAGACCAGTACACTCCACAGTCAATGCCATAGTGATAGTTGCGCACATCTTATTCCATGCTTGTCTGTTTTGTACTGCGTCCCCGCATTTTTGTCATAGCGCAAGGAAGGAACCCACACAGGGGAAACCTAAATCACAAGCATTACGAGCTGGCTTGACCGGTATGCATATGGAGAGCAGACTAGATGCAGGAATAGAAGGCAATGATCACTCAGGAACCGAGGACGTTGAAGTATCTCTGATGATGACAAGCCCCATCCTTGCTTCCCAACTATCAATGCAACCACGATAGACATCGATAGTAACAGTTCCGTAGCCCTTGCTAGTATCTTTACCAGAGTATATGATCGATCACCTTCTCTATATTCTATCCTGGTCTACACTGCACTGCACGACCAAGCCATAGAGTCCTGTGTTGCTACCACCGATGTCTGCTTGAAGAACATGTCACGCTGGAGTGCTTCTCGGCGTCTGACAGGTAAATCCTTCACTGACCTCTTCTCCCTACAGTCTTCCTCTTCCCCAAGGACTTCGCCTTCTACCACTACCTTCCCTATACACCTGGACACCTTACAGCTATGGCACCAGTCAGTCCTTCGTTGACCTCTTCTCCCTACAGTCTTCCTCTTCCCCAAGGACATAGTCTTCTAGCACTACCTTCCCTATGCACCTCGCCACCTTACAGCTATGGCACCAGTCTCTTCCTCTGTGCCCTTCCGCTATGGCGCTGGTCGTCTTCCTCTGCAGCGCTCTGCAGGTATGGCATTGGCGGACTGCATGGTGCTGCCCTCTTCTGGCTGGCACTGCTTTGACCGAACACTCCTGGAGCCTGCCCGCATCCTGCATCCAAATGTCCTGCGACCTGCGCCGGCCTCCTGTTTTATAGACCATGGCGGGGTCCTCCGTCTGCTGGCTTAGGCAGCGGCGTATACCCATATTCCACAATGGAATGACATCGACAAATCCATCTGTAAAGCGCGGTATATTTCATCTATGTGCTCTTCCATAGTTTACTAACAGGGCAATAGGGTTGGAAACGGGGTTGGGACAAATGACCCTGATGAAAAACTTCTTTGCAACAAAATATGGGTTGCTAGGGATAACGGAGACCATAAAGGCTGGGGGGTTGTGTGTGAGTAAATGGTTGTGTTGTGTGACGACGTGCGAGACTTGGATGCGCTGCAACTTTGGCCTTCTACACTCACAGAAGCAAAATCAAAAGGCAGAGGGGTGGTAGGGGGTGGGCCTTGAGGGAGAAAGGGGGACGGGATGCAGCATGTGGGGCCAGCAAACTCGTATGCGTTAGGTAGGAAATGGATGAAAGTCCTTCTGTTGCCTGTATTGACCCTTTCCTTGTTTGATTCTTTCCTGTTCTGACCACCCCTTGCAGGCTCTTGGGGTCCCGACTGGTGCACATGGGGCTTTCGGGAACTATGTAATTGATGCGATGACTCTGAGGGCGATGGCCGCAAACCCACACGCAACAGCGAAAGTTGGCCCGACTGCTGCTCGACAAAGGAGAATTGAGCAAATTGAGAGCGTGCGGAAGATTGGAAGGTACAAATTTCACGAGTCGTCGCTTACCGTCTTCTCATTGTTTGCGTGCAGAACATAGCACAGCTGTAGGATAGCTGATCCCGTTCTCCTACCTCTTTGTTGCTTTTTGTTTTCTATTTTTGACACTTCGAGATTCCCTGTACCTTTGCAACAGAAAGACAGACCAAGTTGATATTGCTGGTCCTTCCATAGTTCTTTGCGTGGACGTTGGCCTTTTCTGCCTTTTGAAAACAACATGTAATCGATGCTACGGCTTTGAGGGCGATGACCTCAAACACACAAGCAACTGTGAGAGTTGATTCTGCTGCTGCTTGGTAAACAGAAGAAACTGAGCAAGTGGGGAGCGGGCGGAAGATGGGATTGGTGCAATTTTCACCACTCATCTCTTCCTGTTTCCTCACTGCTTGCCTTGCCTTCAGAACAGGAGACATCAGCGAGCATCCAGCTGCCTCTGTGCTCTTTTTTGTCACTTTTCGTGTTCCTTCCCCACGTTCCTTTGTAACTTCACAACTGATCAGATTCCCTTTTCCAGTGAAGCACGTGGTTAACCGAGACCCACCACTTTCAGCCGCTCGTCAATGGATCCAATAATGAAATTAGGGTTTGGAGGTCATTTCCACTGAAGGGTCCCTGATGGACAGGCAGGTGAAAAAGAAGCAAAAGGGTGGCAAGAATGTTTGGGTGCAATGTGCGCAGATGCTTGTCCCCATAGCAATATATATATATACGAGTCGGTGAAACTCCGACGAAACAGTTTGTCACAGCCCCTCGTTTGTTGTCCTCTTCTCTCTCTCTGCCTACGGTTTTACCGGGCAGTTCTGTTTGTGACGATATATATATAGCCTCCTGATGAGTCGGTGAAACTCCGACGAAACAGTTTGTCACAGCCCCTCGTTTGTTGTCCTCTTCTCTCTCTCTGCCTACGGTTTTACCGGGCAGTTCTGTTTGTGACGATATATATATAGCCTCCTGATGAGTCGGTGAAACTCCGACGAAACAGTTTGTCACAGCCCCTCGTTTGTTGTCCTCTTCTCTCTCTCTCTGCCTAGGGTTTACCGGGCAGTTCTGTCTGTGACGATATATATATTAACAAGAAGCCAACTTGTTTGTTTTCCTTTTTTTGTTTTGAGTGATGGCAATGCACAGAATGCGGGCACAGTGCCGCATGCCTATAAGTAGCAGATAGGCATGGCACAAGAACCGAGGATCACCATGAAAGAAGAACAACTATGGCAATGCAGTGGACGACTGAATTACACAGATCTGACCCATCGAGACTCAGGAACGCATACACACATCCGTCATCACTCATACACAGAGATGGACGTAACGGCACACACACAGACGAAGGGGGAGATGAAGGGGAAGACCATAACTGGATAACCCAACGGAAGAAAGTCTCCACGACAGTCCCCCAACAGGCACTGCCTTCCAAGTGCCAACGCGCCCCAGCTATGGCTGTCCACAGCAGCATGAGGAAGAAGAAGTCTCAGCGCTAGTCTCAGCGCAGTGCCCAATCACCAAAGACCACTTGCCGCAGAACCGAAAAGAACTCCCCCCAAAAGAAACTACTGACTTCGACATCCGCCTTTTTCTAGTCAGACCCAACAGACCCTGCAGCCCACCGGACTTAGACTAGGACTGACCTGGACGGACCGGTAGCACTTCGTGTGACCAAAAACAACAAACACAGAGAAGTCCCAGTGAGGGACAAGTCCACGGATCAAGCCCCGGAGAGGTCACATCCAAAAAAAGTTAGCAAAACTAACTATAACTTCTATAAGTAGTTTTGCAGCCCGGTACAAAAAAACTGCAGTTCATTGCAAGACCATCTCCGGCTATGGTGTCCAACAGTTGAGTCCACAGGTGCGTCCTCTCCTCGTCAGCACCTCCTGGCCTCTACTTCCTCTCCTCCCATCTCCTCTACTCTACCCCCCTAGCACAGCTAAACCCCCAGCGCTGCTCCAGCAGCGTCGTGGCATGACTGCTGAATCCTGTGTGCCTAGATATATAGCGCCGTGCCTATATAGCTGGGCTTACTGGATCCTGCACCAATCTGAATCCTGGGCTGTCCGATCGTAATGCTGATCGATGGTCCAGGATGCAGGCCCAAATCCCGGTCCTGAGTCCTGGCCTCAAAATGGTCTGCCTGGGTCCCAACTGGATGTCCAGGCTCCTCTGCTTAGTCGCAGAGGTGTCCTTACTTCAGGACAAACCCTAAACCCTAAACCAAAACATGGTTCAGCACTAATCTGAGTGAACTTGGCCTGAAAATGGCTGCTGGTCCAGAAAAACTACCGGTCTGGACAGAATGCTGAAACAACA